GTTTACAGTAATAAAAACTTTGGGCCCAGACCCAAACACTACTCGGGTACATCTCTACTGGGACGCCCTCGAATCGGAGGCATCTGACGTCTTTTAACGGTACTCTCTATGTGATCCATGCGTTGCCTGTGTTAGAAAACAACTCTAGTTGTTGTGAGCAAACTCAAACAGGGAGCCGGACGGGTTGTCCTCAGCGAGCTTGAACGGGTCTCTAGGGTCTGGAGTGGAAGGGACCGGTTCAGCCCAGTGTCGCTGGGCTGCTCGGCGTGCTCCACGCGAGCGTTAAACTGATCTGCTGGTAGGTTCGGTAGGTCCAACGAGGATGAGGAAGACAGGAAGGTGAGAGGGGTCGGGGGGAGGGGACACAGAGACAAATCACTCAGTCGTTGTGACGAAGCTAAAGACGTTCAAGCAATAAAAACCAGAGTCTGGGTCACGCACCGTTATTTGGCTGTGAGCGAAACAAAGCGCGTTCTCTAGCAGCGGGTGTGACGTCGCTTGTGTTTAGCTGTTTTAAACCCACTCCATAGCTGTGCCATCACTAGTGTGGTAACACGTGGGGATGGCTCTCCGTGTTCACGACTGGACCGGCGACGGTTCTCCGGGGATTGGACCCAGAATGACATCCTCCTCTCAAGGCGGGTTTGGGGGCGAGGCAGAATCTCTAGCTAGGCCCCCGAATCAGGGAGAACAGATGTGGTCTCTGCAAAACGTTTTCATTTCTTCTTTTTTATTTCACCATCAACACTGTGGGTCACACACACACACACACATACACACACACACACGCATGTTCACTAACACACAACTTTCTCATTCTTGGTGTTCCCAAACGTCAGCTTCCTACTTTTGTGAGTGAGCGCAACAAAAGGAAGATGAAGACATGAGGATCTGGCCCTGTGGACTGAACAGCGACTGAGATGATGTGCTCTCTCTGCTGTGAGTCGTTTGGCTGTGATGCGATGGGGAAATCCTGAGACACAGTGCGGCTCTAAGCTGCTGGCATAGGAAACGGGCGGGCTAGGCAGTCCACGGGTGGCCAGAGTCAGGCTGGATTACAACTGGATTGGTTGGGTTGGGTTTGGATTTGCAGCTCCCTGACCAACGACTGCTCGCAGACGGAGGTGCTTACAGTGCAGCGGAGCTTCTGGCAGCATGACGATTGGTGGGAAGAACATGTTCAGTCTAACAGGAAACCACGACCACCGAGGTGAACACAGGCCCCAACCAATGAGGCAGGTCTCAAACACACACACACACACACGCACACACACTGCAGTGACAGCACCACCTACACAGGAATCTGAAGCCACCTTCCCTCAGCAACAACCAAACACCTTCTGTTCACAGAAACTACAACGAATGACCGACAGGCAGCGGACGAGGACAGTAATGACCGATGGGCGTCCGTCAGAGACTCTACCCTACACACCCGGTTGCGTCTAAACGTCTCTGTGAAGCGAGCGAGTTGTCGTATTCATGTAAACAATCACCTTTAACACGGAAAGAATCAATATTGCATGATGACATAATCTGATCACAGTTCAAAAAGAGGAAGATCCCAAATCAGAAAGAAAAGCAACAGGAAGGAAGAGGGTTGGTCTCTATAAAAATGAGGCGTCTTCATAAGAAAAGCTACAAAAACTCAACGGGACCTCCGACTTCAGCATACAGCAAAAGGCACCACAATATTATTCTATTAATCTAACTTGTGAAAAAATTGGCACGTAGTTCTCATATTTTTCATCTCTCGTAATGCTGTAAATCAAAAAACTTTACATATAAATATCCCCCCGTTATCAAAAAAGTCTTTGCTGTTAGCTAGTAGACAATTTTTGCTGAAATGAAAATAAATATTTCATTTGTTTAGAATATCTGTCTGTTATACAAAATAAAAATATTTCTCCTAGGTGAGGGTCTCTAGTCCACTGGCTGTGTGAAGGACGAGGGGGAGTGTGAGAGGTGGGGGGCGTGGCAGGGGTGTACGGGTGGGCGTCGGAGGGAGGTCCAGTCTTAAAGGGGCATGTTGTCGGCCTTGCAGCGCTGCGTCTGGGAGCTGCGGCTCTGCCCGTTGCTGCGCGTTCCAGGCCGACTCAGCCCGCGGTGAGTCCGTGTGTCCGCACCAGAGGATGAGCGGAACCCCGAGGCTGTTAGGGGCGGGTCCATGTTCATGTTCTGCATACTTAAAAAGGGTGTACTCTCCCCGTGACCATCCTCTTCCTCTTCCTCTTCTTCCTCTTCTTCTGACTGGCTCAAGCTCTGTGAGCTGTAGTCCCGTAGTCCCGCTGAACACTGCGAGATGTGTCCATTGAGGCGGTTGCGTCGGGGGCGGCGCCGGCTCTGGATTGGTTCCCGCGAGGACGCGTACTCCTGCGTCGTCTCGTAGGCCTCGTCATCAGGTAGATGGTAAGGACTGGACGGTAGACTGCCTGTGCTCTCTGTCAGGTAGGGTCGCCGAGGGCGACGAGGCTGCCTGTACAAACTCCCGTCCTGACACAAAAGAAAGTGAGAAATTCAACAAATGTAATGTCAGCGGAAAACAAAAATGGTCAGAGTTATGTTTAAAGACCAAGTTTACTGATTTTTTTTCAACACATGTGCAGTGGATGCCTTGTGAGTCAATCTCTGTGGGGAACAAAGCTCTGGCGCTCCTGTTCCAGTAAGCAGAAGTTAGTAGCAGACGGAAGAATTTGCACTCTTATTTCCTGATATTTGGACATCTGGCCTCCGATTGGCTCACAGCAACACCACTCAACCGCTGATTCTGTTTTCTCTGCAACGTTGATGTTTTATCTTCACAAGTAACACAAGCCCGGAGGAGTTCTGCTGTGTGGTGGAGTAGCTAATGCTAACGGTTAGCTTCTACTAGCTGTTTCCTGGACGCCAAACCAACAACAGCCTTCCTGTGAGTCAAGATGGGCGAGTCCACGAATGTTAATGTCGACGTTCCGACGTGCTAATGTCACCGTTTCCAAACTGAGCATTTCCTCATCTGTTTTCTTTCTGCAGCTAAAGCAGGAAGTAGGGACAGAGGAGTATTTTCACATTTAGCCTGCACGTTGAGCTCAAAGTCAACAAAATCAAGTAAAAAACAGTTTCTTACTGAACTTAGTAAAAAAAAAAAAGTCAAATTAGAAAACATGGATGTGAGGCAACAAGTTGCTTTATTGGTCTTTTCAATAAATCTGTCATCTGTTTCTAAACCCGATGAAATAACTGCATGACATGATGTGACCATCAACCCGCTTTTGCCTACATACATCTGGACATCTCAGCAGTGGCTGGTCATCATCCCTGCGGTAGGCAGCAGCAGCGGGGGGGAGGGAGAGAGCGTGGCTTCTGTTGGGTGAGGTGATCTGGAAGGTGGGTACCTGGGGTGGTAGCGGGGGGTAGTGAAACTCCACAGGAGAGAGCCGTGCCGGTGTGGTCAGTGCAGACACATACCTGCATGAAAACCATGACATCATGTTAGCAGTGGCGTGTGAGTCTGTCAACGCGTCTCTGGGATGGGAGCTGCCTCTGCGTCTGACAGGAATGTTGATCCCAGAAAAGTTTCTCTCTCTTCAAGGTTAGAAAATATTTTAAAATAAAATAATAAAGTGTTTTTTCCCCAGTTAATCTGATCTGGACTTGATGTAAAATAAAAATTGAAACTTACATCGTCTAATGTGGAACTACTAAATTAAAAACACATGTAAAACACTCACACAAGACATCTAAGCAAGTATTCCTGGTGTGGGAAGATGACTCTTTTATAACCAATAAATACATAAAATGGCTTGTCATAACTTATTTAAAAGCACTCTTGATTACAGAATATGACAGCTTTCCACAGAACCAGCGTGTAGGTCACTGCTGCTGCGGATTAAAACGGCTGTTTTTTTAAAGCCCCAGTGTGTAATATTTTAACCTGTTTACTATCAAATTATGTGTGTCCAGTTCACAGACGTGTCCTTTATCATTCATATTTCCTGAGCTACTGATGCCTCATGCAAGACATTGAAAAAAAGCATGCAAATGTATTAATCCATCCATCCATCCATCCATCCATCCATCCATCCATCCATCCATCCATCCAACTATCCATCCATCCATCCATCCAACTATCCATCCATCCATCCATCCATCCTTCCATCCATCCTTCCATCCATCCATCCATCCATCCATCCATCCATCCATCCATCCATCCATCCATCCATCCATCCATCCATCCATCCATCCATCCATCCATCCATCCATCCATCCATCCATCCATCCATCCATCTTGTAACAGAATGAAATGACTGTTTTTTCCCTCCTCTGCACAGGACTAGTCTGCATGAGATATGGTCTCGAGTTCTCATGCATTTGCTTCTAACCTGCTTATTTTCAGCTCAACAGAAGAATGAAGAATGAACTCTTTTCTTTTAATTAATCAAAGAACTCTTTCTTAATAAAGCTAATCCATCAAAGTGTTAGTCAATAAATAAGATGTGACCGATCTGTGAAATCAAAATATTAATTACTTTATTATAATCCCATAGAATATAAAAGTAATATGACTTTAAATGTTCCAACAGGACTTATTTCACGTAGCGTTAAAAGACATGACACATTACTTTCACTGATCCAATCAGAATCTGACAGATCTGATGGAGGTGTGGTTTTGGTGGTGTTTGGTAACTCTGTCATGTTTTCATTCGACCGTAAACCAAAACATCAGAAGTATAAAACTATGCCCACGTCATCTCTAACGCCAGTTCAAAGCGTTCTAGAGAAGTTGTCGGAGTGGCCAATCCGTAACTTTCCTCTTCAGCCGAAAGAACCAACGACACGCTGGATAAAATCTGTTGCTGTTCCACCTGCTGCAACGGTTCCTTTCAGAATAAAATGATAAATGAGCCGCACTTGTATAGCGCCTCTCAGAGTAAGGACTCCAAAGCGCTTTACACTACAGTGTATCATTCATACATTCACACACTCATTCACACACTGGTGGTGATGAGCTACGATGTAGCCACAGCTGCCCTGGGGCACGCTGACAGAGGCGAGGCTGCCGAGCACAGGTGCCACCGGTCCCTCCGACCACCACCAGCAGGCTAGGTGGGTTGAGTGTCTTGCCCAAGGACACAACAGCAGAATTCTCTGTCCGGAGCCAGGATCGAACCTGCAACCTTCCGATTACTGGACAACCCGCTCAACCTGTTGAGCTACTGCTGCCCCAAAGCTGAACAATCAAGACCCAAGCTCGGGTCTCACCAGACGCCAACAAATTGTCATGACCCGGAAGTGTCTCACAGTCTGGACTGGTCGGCAACCATTTCCTACCAGCTCGGTTCCAGAGAAGGTCAAGCTGGACCTCGACATTCCTGATCTAAAGGGGACTTCCCGAAGGGTAGGTAGACCGGCAAATGGCGTCGAATGTGTTTATGAATCTCCTAACCAAAGCTTAACGCAAAGACATCACCTTCAGTTCCTGTCAGAACTAATCGCAGCTCCGGATTTGCTGGTTCTGATCAACATCACACGTCATCCATCCACCGTCTCATCCACATTAGTTACACCGTACATTTAGTGTTTAAAGTTAGTCTAGTTTAAGTTGTTACTAATAAAATTCTTAACTTTTAAACTTGACTCTCTCTTCTGTTGTCTCTGAGTGAATACGAAGCTGTTATCTAATCCCTGCAATAAAAAGATCCAATCTTCTGGTTTAAATAACCTCACAGATCCGTAAGGTGGATTTCATATTTCCTATGGAATCCTACGCCTTATGGCTTATTAAATAACACGTAATTTAAATTCATTACAGTTGAAACTTCACTATTAAATAACATGTAATTTAAATCATAACAATTTTCATCTGATAATCCGGAGTCGGGTCGCGGGGGCAGCAGCCTAAGGCGAGAGGCCCAGACTTCCGTCTCCCCAGCCACTTGGCCCAGCTCCTCCGGGGGAATCCCAAGGCGTTCCCTGGCCAGGTGAGAGGCATAGTCTCTCCAGCGTGTCCTGGGTCTACCTTTAGGTCTCCTCCCAGTTGGACGTGCCCAGAAAACCTCACCAGGGAGGCGTCCAGGAGCCATCCTGACCAGATGCCTGAGCCACCTCAACTGGCTCCTCTCAATGTGGAGGAGCAGCAGGTCTACTCCGGGCCCCTCCCGAATGACCAAGCTTCTCACCCTATCTCTAAGGGAGAGCCCAGCCGCTCTTCGGAGGAAACTCATTTCGGCCGCTTGTATCCGCAATCTCGTTCTTTCGGTCACTACCCAAAGCTCATGACCATAGGTGAGGGTAGGAACGTAGATCGACCGGTAAATCGAGAGCTTCACCTTCTGACTCAGCTCTCTCTTCACCACGACAGACCGGTACAACGCCCGCATCACTGCAGATGCAGCACCAATCCACCTATCGATCTCGCGCTTCAGCTTTCCCTCACTCGTGAACAAGACCCCGAGATACTTAAACTCCTCCACTTGGGGCAGGACCTCATCCCTGACCTGGAGAAGGCATTCTACCCTTTTCCGACTCAAGACCATGGTCTCAGATTTAGAGGAGCTGATTCTCATCCCAGCTGCTTCACACTCAGCTGCGAACCGCTCCAGCGAAAGCTGAAGATCACGTTCTGATGAAGCCAACAGGACCACATCATCTGCAAAAAGCAGAGACCTGATCCTCAGGCCACCAAAACGGATGCCCTCCACACCTTGGCTGCACCTAGAAATCCTGTCCTTAAAGGTTATGAACAGAATCGGTGACAAAGAGCAGCCTTGGCGGAGTCCAACTCTCACTGGGAATGAGCCCGACTTACTGCTGGCAATGCGGACCAAGCTCTGACACCGGTCATACAGGGACCTAACAGCCCGTATCAGAGGTCCTGGTACCCCATACTCCCGGAGTACCCCCCACAGGGCCCCCCCGAGGGACGCGGTCAAACGCCTTCTCCAAATCCACAAAACACATGTAGACTGGTTGGGCAAATTCCCACGCACCCTCCAGGACCCCCCTAAGGGTATAGAGCTGGTCCAGTGTTCCACGGCCAGGACGAAAACCACATTGCTCCTCCTGATCTGAGGTTCAACAATCCAACAGACCCTCCTCTCCAGAACCCTGAATAGACCTTACCAGGATGGCTCAGGAGTGTGATCCCCTGTAGTTGGAACACACCCTGCGGTCCCTCTTTTTCAATAAGAGGACCACCACCCCGGTCTGCCAGTCCAGTGGGACTGCCCCCGATGTCCACGCGATATTGCAGAGCCGTGTCAGCCAACACTGCCCCACAACATCCACAACATCCAGAGCCTTAAGGAACACTCACCGAACTTCTCCCATACCCGGGTTTTTGCCTCGGCGACCACCCGAGCCGCGTTCCGCTTGGACTGCCGATACCCGTCAGCTGCCTCTGGAGTCCCACAGGCCAAAAAGACCTGATAGGACTCTTTCTTCAGCTTGACAGCATCCCTAACCGCCGGTGTCCACCAGCGGGTTTGGGGGTTGCCACCACGACAGGCACCGACGATCCTGCGACCACAGCTCCGGTCGGCCGCCTCAACAATGGAGGCACGGAACAGGGTCCATTCAGACTCAATGTCCCCCGCCTCCTCCGGAACATTTTGGAAGTTCTGTCGGAGGTGGGAATTGAAGCTCCTTCTGACAGGAGACTCTGCCAGACGTTCCCAGCAGACCCTCGCGATCCGTTTTGGCCTGCATGGTCTGACCGGCATCCTCCCCCACCATCTGAGCCAACTCACCACCAGGTAGTGGTCAGTTGACAGCTCTGCCCCCCTCTCTTCACCCGAAGGGTCCAAGACATGCGCCCTAAGGTATCCTGGTGCCAAGAGCACATATGGACACCTTTATGTCTGAACATGGTGTTCATTATGGACAATCCATGACTGGCACAGCAGTCCAATAACAAAACACTCAAATTCAGATCAGGGGGGCCGTTCCTCCCAATCACACCTCTCCAGGTCTCACTGTCTTTGCCCACGTGAGCGTTAAAGTCCCCCAGCAGAACGAGGGAGTCACCGGAAGGAGCACTCTCCAGCACCTCGTCCAAGGTCTCCAAAAAGGGCGGGTAGTCTGAACTGTAGTTTGGTGCATAAGCACAGCCCACAGTCAGAACCCGTCCCCCCACACCTAGGCGGAGGGAGGCTACCCTCTCATTCACCGGGGTAAACCCCAACGTACAGACACCAAGATGGGGGGCAACTAGTATGCCCACCCCTGCTTGGCACCTCTCAGTGGGAGCAACTCCAGAGTGGTAGAAAGTCCAACCCCTCTCAAGGAAACTGGTTTCAGAGCCAGAGCCATGCGTTGAGGTGAGCCCGACTATATCTAGTCAGAAACTCTCCACCTCACACACCAACTCAGGCTCCTCCCCCACCAGAGAGGTGACATTCCATGCACCAAGAGCCAGCTTCTGTAGCCGAGGATCAGACCGCCAAGGTCCCCGCCCTCGACTACCACCCGTCACACACTGCACCCGACCCCTTTGGCCCCTCCCACGAGTGGTGAGCCCATGGGAAGGTGGACCCACGTTTCCTCTTCGGGCTGTGCCCGGCCGGGCTCCATGGGTGAAAGCCCGGCCACCAGGCGCTCGCCAACGTGCCCCACCTCCAGGCCTGGCTCCAGAGGGGGGAACACGGTTTCCATTTATATAATTCATCATAAGAGGTCTTCGGGCTGCTCTTTGTCTGATCCCTTAATGCGAATGCATTAATCTGAAGTTAAAAAGAGACGCGCAGATGACTAATCTTGTCTCTGAGATAAATACCTAAAAAATAAAAGTAATTTTTGCATTAGAGTCACATTTTGAAACTTACAGAAAAGCCGGTTGTTGTAATTATGCACTCAAATATCAAAGGAAATGTTCTTAGTGTTGTCTTACAAACTAGCCCCACCCCCATCTCCAATGATAACCTCCACTGCTGCTCCTATAGTGTATTAAAGCATCAGAAACATGAAAAATCTCATGTGATCTATGAGCAAAACTATGGAACGCAGAAAGATAACTGCTATTAAGCTTTTAATTGATGTTTTTCATTTATTTTTAATAAAAGGAGAGAGGCTTCATCATGGGTAGAGGCAGAGTCAGCTGAATCAGCTGTCCAACAAAACCGGATTAAGCTGCATTTCTAAACAAAAATGAAACTGTGTAAAGCTTACTCTGTATGAGGTGGTTCAAGCTGGATTTTTCTTATTCTTTTCTGCATTTATATGCAAATATGTTACCATCAAAAAAGTTATTATGGCAAGGTTAAATGTGCACTATGCCCTTAAAAGAAAGTTAGGGGCAACTTGGCACGTCAAATCCAAAAAATCAGCAGCTAATACAATTTTTTCTTTCACTTGAAGGATGATGAACTGGTATTATTCCTGCTTCTAGAAAACGGCATAGTAAAAACAAAAATAAAAATATCAAAACTACTGTTTTTTTCAGATTTATGTCCCAGAAATGCTGATTTCACACAAATTTTTGTTTTAGATTACGCCGTTTTTGATGTTAAAACATTTGTAGCAATAAGGGGCCACTAGGTGTCACCACAGAGTAAAAGGGCCTGATGCAACTCAACACACACACACACACACACACACACACACACACACACACACACACACACACACACACACACTCACACACACACACACACACACACACACGCGCACGCACACACACACACACACACACACACACACACACACACGTGTGTTGTTAAGTCTTGGGCTGATTTTTAGTACCTGTCACTGTGAGGCGAGTCTCTTAGGGAGTCGTAGGAGTCTCCGTACTGCATCCCCATCCTGGAGCCGTCTGCACAGCCCCAGTGGGCAGCCCTCCTCGCCATGCATGCTGGACTGCTGCACTTACTGGTTCCCACCGAGCTGGAGAGCCCGCCTGACTGGCAGTCTGAGTTCACGCTCTCTGTTCGCTCCATGCTCCACGTCTGCTCCTCGTGCCTGCAGGGGTGGGTGTGATAATGATAATGAGCTTGTGTTGGAGGACACAGGAGTTGAGGAGGGATAAAAAACAAACTAGAGGAATCGTTTATTTATCTCAAAGCAAAGTGATAAAGATGTATGCTAACCTTCAAACATTTATGTTCGTGTAAAAAAAATTGGTGTTCCAGGACTGAAACCAACATGGTGATTAAAGGTAATACTTTATACTTTAATGTATGATGAAACCATTTAAGTGTAATAATATGATTATTTGCTAATCAGGATATTTTGTTTGCATTCATAAATATGCAACAACTTTTCATAATTAATATGCTCTGAAGCATTGAATACAGTTCATTTTGTTATTAGATAATTTCATCGTTCTACAGAAAGGTTAAAAAAAAGAAACTAGGAAATCCCTGTGATTATGTTTGTAAGCTAAAACCCAGGTGTTTAAGTTTGGCTGATTTCTCGCGAGAAGTGGGGGAAGGGAAGAACGAGAGGAGGGAGAAAAGAGGCGCGAAGGGAGGCGTCGGATGGCCGTGGACGGAGACTGAAAGGGGCTCGAGGAGAACTTATAGTAGGCCGGGTGCGGAATCATATCCGGCCTGGACGATTGTTCTTCACACCAGAGGATCGTGACAGAGTTCGTGGCCGATGTGTGCAGTGGGGGAGCGAGTTTTAACCGGTTCCAGTGGAGGTCGGAGGAGCTAAGCTACACTAAAGTTCCGCTGCAGCTGTCGGAGCCGCACGGGAGGAGTGTGACGCACGGATCCAGCCACTCACCTGCATCGTGGGAAGAGAGCCGGGGAAGTTGGGACCCGGCATTGTGTTCCGCGATTGTGGGGACCAGGGAATACCTCCGACTGGTAGGAATAAGGGTTCCATTAAGGCAGCGGTTCCCAAACTAATTTAACCGCGCACCCCCTTCTATGTCCCGACCATGTCGACGCACCCCCAGCCCCACATCAGGGCATGGCTACATATATAAATATATATATATATATATATATATATATATATATATATATATATATATATATATGTATATATATATATATATACATATATATATATATATATATATATATATATATATATATATATATATATATATATACATATATATATATATATATATATACATATATATATATATGTGTATATATATATATATATATATATATATGCATATATATATATATATATATATATGTATATATATATCAGACGTCATATAAATATGATCGACCTTTTTCCCCATCACTCTCATTTTTTTAAGTAGTAATTAATAAACATTCGATACCATTACAATTTCCTTTGATTTAATTTTAAATAAATATTTAGAGTGCCCAGGTAGCACATAAAAAAATGCAATTTAACGGTTTTCTTATAGCAGGAACGTTTAACCAGAGCGCTCTCCTTCCTTCTGCTCTGCGTAAACCTGAGCTGATCACCTACTTGTGTGTAATCACATGTCTATAGGGGGAAAGATGGAAAAGCCACAAGGTTCACTTTTGCCTCAGACCGACTTATTGCTGTTTTATGGCGTGGCTGAATCTGCGATCCGCTGCCACGCGGACTGGAATAACAAATGCTGCAGTAACAGGAGTTGTGGTCAGGTTCATGAGGAGTCACTGGCTGGATTTTAATACGTCATCCCAAAATAGAAGCTAATATCTTAATTTGACCTTGAATGAAAAATGTTGTTATAAAACCTCTTAAAAGTTTTTATCACGGAGGAGGCAGCGCTCATTTCTGCCTTCAGTCTGACGGCACAGCGCAGCGCAACGTCGTGCAGCGTGTGCTAATTGAATCTGTGTGTGTGTGTGTGTGTGTGTGTGTGTGTGTGTGTGTGTGTGTGTGCGCGGCACAGCTCCATGAGCCGCTCCAGTCACCGCGTCTCGTTATCGGCGCTATTTAAACCAATGTTGTAAAATGACTTCTGCCCAGCCCAGATGTGCTCACTTGTGCACCCGTGAGCCGTGGTTCTGACCTCTGACAGACGCACTCTGAACTTCAGATCTTCAGCGCGCTGTTAATAGCCTGAATGGGAATCATTTCTTGTTATTTAGTTACATCCACAATGTTCTGTGTGTGAGGTTTACAACGTCAGAACACCTGCATGAGACAGGTGTTAATTACAATCTGCCAGAATGACTCGCCACCTTCAGATTCCTCCAACACCGTTAAAAATGATCAAATACGGAACATATCGGCGTGCGCAGGCCAGAGTGCTGAAGCTCGGCGCTTTGTTATTATGAAGCTAGGGCACATGTGGAGGACACACACGCGCGCAAAAATATACTTGTTTTCAATTACATTTATTGGGCCCACTTACTTTTTCTTAGGCCCACCCACAAATGAGTTTCTGGCTACGCTAATGGTGACATATGACAGACTTCTCTGAGCTCCGCAGCCATTACACTTTTCACCTCGCGCACCCCCTAGCGGCAGCTCGCGCACCCCCTAGCGGCAGCTCGCGCACCCCCTAGCGGCAGCTCGCGCACCCCCTAGCGGCAGCTCGCGCACCCCCTAGCGGCAGCTCGCGCACCCCCTAGCGGCAGCTCGCGCACCCCCTAGCGGCA